TTACTATTATAAAAGCCTTTTTTTTTTTTATTATAGTACTTAAAAAGAACGTATTTTTAATTATTAAAATAATAATTTTAACTTTTTATAGCCTTATTAATAACGGAAAATTTATTAAAGAAATCTTAAAAGCTTTTTTTTTATTTATTTAAACTATTAATAATATTATCTTATATATTAAAAATAAAGGCTTCGATTTTACCGTTTTTATTTTTAAAATCCTTTTTAAATATTATAAAGATATTTTTTAAGCCGGCCGGCTAAAAAAAGCTATTAAAGTAATTATTATATTTATTATTAATAAAGTTTATTATAATTATTATAATTACGAAAAGAATTACGTTAATATTACTAAGGATTTATTAAAAAATAAAAATATTAACGTCTTTATTATTATTATTTAGTATATATTTTGCTATATTAATTTCTATAAAATTAAACCTATTAAAAAGCCCGATTTAATAAAAAAGATAAGGTAATAAAAGCTTAAATAATATTAAGATTACGCTTATTAAACCCTTAACGATTAGAAAAAAGTAATATAATTAAATAAGATTTTAATAATATTAAATTATTATAAAAGAAGCTATCGACTTTAATAACGACCTAACGAAATATATATTTATTTATATATATATAAGCGGTAAAAAGGCTTTTTTAAATTTATATTTTAAAGCTTTTTTTATATAATAAAAAAGGCTTTATTTATATTTAGTAATTTAAAACCGTTGTGGAAAAGAAAAAGGCTAAGCTTAAAATTATTAATTTTAATTATTAATTAAAATTAATTAAATGTTAAAAATAGGAATTAAATAAATAAATAAAGCGATTAGTTTTTTAAAACTTATTTAGCCGTAAATTAATTTAAGTATAGAACGAAAGTAATAGGAAGTTATTATATAAAAGAAAAAGAGGTATTAATTAGTATCGATATCGTTATAAAATCCTTTTTCTAAAACTATTTTTATTTATAAAGCTTTTAAATTTTAATACGTTAATTTAAAAAGATAAAGCGTTAGCTTATAATTATTAATTTATTTATTATATATATAATTTTTATTATATTTAAAAACTACTTTAGTATAGTAATTTTTTAGATCTTAACTTAATTAAGCCCTACTAACCTTATATAAAAAAGAAAATTATTAAAAAAAGAGTACTAAAGAATATGATAGATATAACAAAAGCGTAGCTCGATTATTAAAAAAAACTATTTTAAAATCGAATTTAATACTAAATAAAACGCGTCTTAATCTATATTTAATAAATTATCGTTTTAAAAAGCGAGAATAATTATAAAAAAGGCCGTAATATTAATAAATACCGTCGATAGGCTAAAATTAATATTATTTTTATTTTTAATAGTTAAATTAATATTATTTATAATGGCGGCGATATTGGTTAGAACGGCGGCGAGATTGGCCCTTGTTAATACCCCTGTCAATACCCCTGCCCACGCAGGGGTGGTTTTGTACCTTTCAGCCAAAACTTTTGAACGGCACGTCCGTACTGAGACGGATATAGGTATTGGCCTATTCGTACCTGACCTCGCCTTACCGGTGCCGTGGAGCCAGATGCTGCCGTGTCTTGACAGGCACGCCGCATGCGCCACGCACAGCATCCCTCTCCCTTTCACCGGCAGCGCGTCCTAAAGAGGCAACAGAAGACGGGACACCAAGTGTATCGAGTACCCGCTCGGGTCACCACAGATGTCGCTTTTGTAACGGTACCGAATACTCTGCAACTCGAGGTCATGTTCCCTTCGTGTACGTCAACAGACGAGACGAGGCCTTCTTCTCATCGACTTGGGTTGTCCTTGGTCTGCTATCATCAGCTCTTGTATGGACTTTTGTTCTCCTCTGTTGTACACGTGTGGCATCACCCATCGCATGTATGAAGACCGGGCAGTTCGATCCAAGCCGAACCATCGAGTCTCGTTAAATCCGTGCGCGACTATATTTGTCGGAGGTAACTGACTGGGACTGCTCTTCTCTGATCCAAATGAAAATGAAAAGCAACATGCCAGACTGCGGCCAACATGGAAATATGTCTCCAACAAGTGACAACAATGACAAGCGCTGGCTAGAACCAATAACAACGGCATTCATGCGGCCACTCGGATACTTGCCGAGGCGACATACTATGTAGGAAGCACCCCGCACGGTAGTGCGACAGCCACAATAGATGGTCCTGTAGCTATTGTGATGACTCCCAAACAATAGCTCTCGACTGGGCAGAGGGCAGAGGCTACAACACGTAGAGAGCCCAGTTGAGGTTCAGCGTTAAATACGGCTCCATCTGCTTTGCCCTACTCGACCGGTGCTTGTGCAGTCTCACGTCTGGGACACCGCTAGGCCGGGGAGTTGGAGGCGAAACAACGAATCTGCCCGTTTCCCGTCGTGGCAAATCCCAGGCTTCTCCATATCCCTTACCACCACACACAAATGCTGGCGGCAAGAAATTTCGACTCTCCCCTGAATCACTCGTTTGCAGTCGAGTAAGGGACGGTAGCGAGTGTCTTTCACCTGTGTTTTCGGCGCCGGGTCTGGCCTCCACTTCCACTGGGAAACGCAGGTCGCATCTTGGCCTGTGTTCTATTCCTGCGCAAGGGGCTACGTCTGGTTAGATCCTCCTCCAATGATGGCTGCATTATGCCACTGTGTTTCGAGAACTCGAGCCTTGACTCTCTGCTGCTGCCCGGCCTGGGCGGTCCAAGGCTTCCGAGACGGTAAGAATGATCGATCCACCGATGACAGGAAGAAAAAGAAGACAGGAAGCAAGGGTCTGTGGTACGTAGTTGTGATGGCTGGTGATCGAGGCTGTCGTCCGAGGCAGCGCGATTGATGCTGGACGGCTCGATTACCTTTGGGAGGCACCGAGACATCCAATGGTTGGCTGGACGGACGGCTTGGGAAAGTTAATCATAGCTCTGCAGACTCTAGAGAAACGCCCTTGCAGATCTGGAGCGTCCCATCCAGTGGGACGTTAGCCTCCGGCGAGGAGAATAAGTGAGGGGGGTGGGGGATGTGACGACAAGACTCGGTCGTGTGTAGGAGGATCCGAAAGGCAAGCCTTTCTTCGGAACGAACCTTGCCTCGAGATGCCTAAGCCAATATGATATTGGACGAGCGCCACGTACAAGAATCAGTATAGAGGTCCTGGGTGATAATGACAAGGCAGATGGAGGTGGGGAATCGGGAGACAGCAGACTGCAGGTAATAGTTGTCCGTGGAATCTTATGGGCTAGGCTGCCTTTGAACTTCGAATATCAATCCACCTCTAGCTCGTCGCCGTTGTTATCTTCAGCGTTGCATAGAGTAGGAAAGAGGAGTCAGGCTGGTTTGGACTTATTGCGGATCAAACACCGCCCGCTTTTTGGCCCGCTAGAACTGTACACTAGCCAGAAGTAAGCCTCAAGGTGCCAGGCTTCCGGTCTTTTGTACCTGGACCTGCTTGGCCGGCGGTTACCCGGTCCATGTTACTGGGCGGCATGTACCTTTGGTGCACTCCCTCTCAAGGCTCTGTCGTCACGCCGTCTAGGGGACCTCCTTTCGCTGATAGGTCAAGGTATCTCTTCCTTACCTTTGCATTCCTGGCAGGACGTTCTAGAAGCTCTGGAGCGCTCCCTTCGCCAAAACTTCTAGGCGGAACAGCGGTAACAGGTCTGGATCCACCGAGCTGGAACACACGCAGACGCAACCACGAAACACGCTCCTTTTGCTTGCTGAAGACGGAGGGGCCTACGGTGGAGAAAGACATCACGGTTTACAACTTTACAACTTTACAACCTTACAAGAGACGAAAGACTCGACTCTGCCTTGGGGTTTCTGGAAATGACATAATGAGAAGAAAAGAAAGCTACGGGATGCGACTATGGCATTTCACCCCCTCTGACATTTCAGCATCACTTATGCTTAAACTGGCCCGAAGCCATCCCGAGAAGAACCAGTCTAATAAAACCATGCCGCTTTGAATCCAACCATAGTTCTTGACGGCTACAATTCATAGGTCACCTCGCCAACTAGGCGATTTTGGCATCGCCAATGTCGGGCTCCAATAGATGTGATGAACCAGGGAAATCTTTTCGGTGTAGAAATTCACAGCGGTAGGCCTGCACTTGCGCATCTGAGGTGGTAGAGAAAAGGCGCAGGGCAAAACAGGACCAAGTCCGCCCACGGGAAAAAGGTGCCATTCATCAATGCTGAGGCGAGAGGCAAGCCGCCCCAACCCTCCCTCCTACGGCAGACGGCCACGGAGCCGTTTCCAGTTTCCTCCGCAGACGGGAGAAAGTCCAAGGTGTCGCCGTGACGGGAGACGTCCTGGTCAGGACACCCGGCAACTCCTGGCCTCGAGGCCTGTCAGTGGCACAGATTTCCCCGTGCCCCTGCCCGCTTCAGGAATCCTGAGATTGAGCTGAAACGCCACTTCCTGCCGTATTCAAACGAACTAAACATCGCCTTGGACATCAACTAATCTACTTTCCCTGACTTTGATACGCACACCTGACCTCCGTTGCGTTCTCATCATCGGCCACGGGATAAATGTCTGGCCCTTATCAGCCGTGTTAAGTTGCTGCTTCTCCTGTCGTGTGTGATAACTAATCACCTGTGATGAGGCCAATTGCCGAGCCGGGTCCCGGCTCCCAGCCCCAGTACTGTCTCTGAGTACGCCAGTGCGGTTATCGCTGCTCCCCCTGACCAACACTCGTAATCATTCGTGTGTCTACCCCGTCGGCCGTCTCATCTCGTCACTTCCCCCAGTCTGCCGTCCTCTCCGCTGACAGCTGAGCAGGCCAGTCCCTATTGGTGCAAGGCCGCAAGCCCTGATGCCCAAGACGTCGCTGCCATTCGTTCTTCGTTGGTCTCGTCCTCTCGCCATCGTGTAGTGCATCGGTGTCGACAAATCCTCCCTAATCAGAACTGCTGTCTGCGGCACCACCCACGTCTTAGTTGTCCCTCAGTTGTTCCTAGACCCTGTCTGCTTCGATAGATGAGCTGATTTTACGCAGCTTTAGATTCCATGACGGTCCGAATAAACAGCTGCATGTCGGTAGTGTCTCGACTGTATTCGTTCATGACCGCGCCCAGGTCCGCTTGGCGGTGCTGGTTGCACACTGTTTGACCTGTCCTGACCACCTCATCCCACTCGGCCATAGAGAAAGTTCCCTCACTCTCTAACAATAAAAGGTCGTTCTGCGATGTAAAGATGACCACGTGAAGCGATTTCGACTGTTCTATCGCTAGAGGAGACGGATCGGCGATGATCTTGCCACCCTTCTCGAGAACGGCTAAAGTAGTGCATGTGGCAATAGCCTTCAAAGGCACGGCAGCCGACAGTAAGCCCAAGATGGCGCTATGAAAGAGAGCCGGTAACAGAGGCAGACTCTTCGGGAGCAGAGGATAGTCAGAAATAATGCCACACAGGCGAAACAGGGCGGCGGCTTTGAGATATTCGATATCGAACTCTCCACTTACAGACTGAGCCTGGACTACTTTGCTGTTCGCATAGTCGTTCTGCGGCGTCTCGGTCACCTGAAGCGTGACCTGAATGAGGCAGCGAGGAAAGTTTTTGACGGGAATCAGCTGGCGAAAAGCTGATCGTAAAATGTTCTCAAGTTGGCGTTCTCCCGTGCCTAAATATTCGTCACGATTGTGAGCCAAATTGTCCGCAAAATGCCAGAAAATAGACAGTCTGACCTCCGACCCCTGCAGCAGGTCGTACGACAACATCAACGACTGATTCGAAGGGGTTTTCGTCTCGTCGCTGGACCTCAATCGGCCCATTGACGGCCGCAACCACGCAATAACCTCCCCTTGAAAATGTTGCTGAGCCATCAACTCGCGGCAGATGTGAGATGCGGGCCTGGGGGTTCGAATCAAGAGTCATGGCGAACGGTGATGCGGAGATATTGGCGAAGAAGAATAATGGGATGGGCCGATGAGTTAATAATCCCCCTGGAGATATGTTTGAAAAGCGAGTGCGATCCAGCACAATGGCGACTCGAATGTCCTGCTCTAGCAACTTCCAGGATGGGAGGAAAAATTGGGATGAAGTTGGTGAGCCACAAGCACGTACCTTTTCAAAGGCCGTTGCCTGACCAATTGCAATCGAGATCTGCACAGGCAGGCACGTCTTGTTCCTTACGTACCTTAAGATAGCTCAGGTGGGGTTCGCTTTACTGCACTCACCTACAATGGTAGGAATACTTGGCACGGCGAGCTTTCTAAGCCTAACCATCTCTGCAACAGCCCATCAATAATCCGACAAACGAAACCAATTGTGCTACTATTTCATCGTCGCTGGGCATTTTTGCTCGACGCTCCCATCATGGCATTACTAGATACGGCATCTCATGCCAGCACACCAGTTGCGTCTACTTTGAGCAACAAGATTCCCAAGCTAGAACCTCGCCGTCGTCGACAATCTCCTTCCAACCCAACCCCCCGTCCCGAGACGCCTGCGCTGCCTCCACCACCTGGCCTCGAAGATCACGCATACCAAACTCCCTCGAGACGAATTCTTTCCAAGAAGGATCACGATATGTTTCTGTCGTCCCCCACATACACGCTGGTTCTGGCTTTTGTTTTTGGCCTCTCCGAGTCCGTCGAAGATACACCACGCTCTGCCCTCAAGGACAGCGAACTCGGCCCTTCGCTACAGTCGATCCTCGGCATACTTGACGAAGTGGACAGATTTGTCATAGAGGCTCCCCCAGACGATCAAGAGGGCTCGCGCTTTGGTAACAAGGCCTTCCGGACGTTCTTGGACCTGGTCAAAGAAAAGGCAGCGGCTTGGCAGACGGAATTGGGCGTTGACGAGGCGGCAAACGTCGAGGTCTTGGTATATCTTGAGCACTCCTTTGGAAACTGGCAGCGGATAGACTATGGCTCAGGACATGAGCTCAACTTTGTTATGTGGCTTTTATGCCTTTACCAGCTCCGAATCATCACCAAGGATGATTTCCAACCATTGGTCCTCAGGGTGTTTGAGCGGTATTTGCAGGTCATGCGTAACGTCCAGTTGACGTACTACTTGGAACCTGCTGGTTCACACGGTGTCTGGGGCTTGGACGACTACCAGTTTCTCCCATTTTTGTTTGGCGCCTCGCAGCTTCTGCACCACCCATTCATCACACCGTTGGCGATCCACCAAGACCTCACACTGGAGGAGTTTAGTCATGATTATCTCTACCTCGGCCAGGTCAACTTCGTCAACGATACCAAAACGGTCAAGGGTCTGCGATGGCACAGCCCCATGTTGGACGATATTTCAGCTTCCAAGTCGTGGACCAAGGTAGAGGGTGGTATGCGCCGAATGTTCGTCGCTGAGGTTTTGAGGAAATTGCCGGTCATGCAACACTTCCTATTCGGTTCACTGATCGCGGCAGTGGATGGGATGAGCACAGAGCAAGACTTTGAGCGGGGCGACGAGGAACACGAAGAGGAAGGCGGCGAGATCAGCCCGGGGAACGTCGGGAACGTTGGCAAGCATAAGCATCAACACGTCGGCTGGGGTGATTGCTGCGGCATCAAGGTTCCTAGCAGTGTCGCTGCTGCCCAAGAGTTGAAGAAAAGGGGGGCCCGCGATAGTCTTCGGCGGATACCCTTTGACTAGACGGCGATGACGAGTGTCCATGACGGATTGCGGGGGGAAAAGCATGACAGGTATGAATGATGAATATTTTTTGGACAAAACTATTATGCTCTACTGTGGGCTGCCTTCCATGTTGCTACTACATCTTGTGGGAAGCCTCTATTTCACTTCGCCGGGTGTATTACGATGCTTCAGCCGCATCCTTCGTCATTTCGTATGTTCACTTCCAGGCAAAAGTTGCGTCAGTCGCCATCTAGGGTAGGTGACTACCTCGCCAAGCCGAGCTCATGAAGACGTTCAATACCCGGAAGATGCGCCCACTTCTCGCTGGAGGGCGAGCCACAAGTGAGGTCAAACCACAGATCAGGGTGGTCGTTATCGATGGAGTCCAGCGCGTAAGCGACGGTGCTGCCGTACAAGTCGCACCGCGGGACGTTGAGACCCTTCTCGGGATAGAAGCGATAGGACTTGCAGCCGTCCGTGGTGTTCATGACGCTCTGCCAAGAAGTGCCGTGTCAGAAACATCGGGTTCAGAGTCGAGGAAAGGGAGAAAAACTTACGGCACAGAACTGGTAGCAACCCTCGAGGGTCACAGGCACATTAGGAGCGTTGTTGACGAAACGAGCCAAAAAGTAGTTGCCTACCGGCAAGCCGTGAACGCCGCAGTGGTTGTTTCCCGGCATTGGCTTGCCCGTCGGGGCGTCATTCTGGCAGACCGTCTTCGTCGGGATGGTGGTCGAGGTCGGGACCGTGGTCAGCGAGGCCGTGGTAATGGGTGCCATGGAGGTGTCGATGACGCAGCTTTCCGTGGTTATGACGGAGGAAAACGCCGTCGTCGCCTGGGTAGTAGAAGTTGCGACGCTGCTGGTGTCGGGTAGGAACGGTGTCACCTCCGGCGAATGCGTTGTCCAGGAAGATGTCAGAACTGCCGAGGCTGTCAAGTTTGAGACGATAGAGCTATACGTCGAGGCGCTGGCAGTGGGTGTTGCGGAAGCGGTGTCTTCGTCATCGCAAGGCTCCGTCGTAGCGCTGGTCTCGGTGGAGGTGAGAGAGGACAAGACAGTGGAGACTGACTGGCTGTAGATTCCATTCTGAGTCGTTGTAGAGAGCTTGTATGTCGTAGTTGAGTTGGCGAGGGGCATGCGAGAAGTGAAAGTGGGAGCGGCGCTTCCGGTGCTGGTTTCATCATCGCAAGGCGTCTCCTCGGCCGCGCTCGATGTAGTCTTGGTGGACAAGGGCACTGTCGAGTTCAACTGGCTGCTGAAAGCTGTTGACGTCGAGTTGGCGGAGGTCGAGCTCATATCATCGTCACAAGGCTCGGTTATCTGGGAGGGGGTCGCAGATGTGGTGTTGTTCCAGACGGGTAAGGAGGACGGGTTTCCATCCGAACCTCCCGTTGTCAAGGAAGAGGTAGAGTAAGTCGACGTGATATTGGGATACAGCTGTTGAGTGCTAGCAGTGTCGTCAGGGCAGGGAGACTCCGAAGGTGCCACAGAGGAAACAGCTGTTGAGTTGACGGGTAATGTGTAGCCGGTTGAGAGGAGCATTGAAGTCGAAGAGGTAGTATTCCATACTGCCGTCGAACTGGTAGAGTTGACTGGGAGCAAAGATGAAGACGATGGCAAGTAGGCCGTGCCAGTGCCTCTCGACGAGGTCAAGTTGGCGCCATACGAAGTCGTCGCCGTAATGTAGAAAGTCACGTCTACCGTCGTGAAGGATGTGGTGACACTCTGCGGGCATGCCGAAGCGTGGAATGATGACGATGCGGTAGATGAAGTGTTGTACGGTGGCGTGTAGTAGGTGTTGCTGGCGGTCCCTGCAGTAGCCGTCCCAACAGATACCGTTCCGTTGGAGGTGCCGTTGAAGTGAAATCCGGATCGGCTCCGGGCGGTGATTGGACGGACCCATTCGCCGGATTGTAGGTCCGGTCGGGAGTCTCGGCCTATGACTATGTGGGCACCAACCTGCTTCGCTGGTTTAGCAATTCGCCATCTCCATAAGCTATTGAGTTCTGTCAATCTCACCTGCTCATCTGAACTTCTTGGAGCTGCTACAGCATTTCCAATTATGAAGGCAGTGAAGCCGAAGAAGAGATTGCGATGCATGGTACAATGAGATGGCCGATGGAACAGCAAGTATAAAACACTGGAGGCGTGAAGCAGTGAATCAGTAGTCGAAACAACAATTCTTTTGAGCGATTGCGTCGAGCTGAATGAATGCTGAGTTGCTTGTTGTACCGAGATCTGTGGAGTGTAAGCCATGTCCGTCTTTATACACTGTCGCTGTCGCCGCTCAGATCTTCAAGGAGTTACGGGATCTTCATCACGGGACGCTTCGAGCCCTTGGTTCAATAGCAGTGCGGAGGGCTCGAGAATAGAGGGAAGACTATAGGTGTTGTCTATTGAGAGTTGGCTCCTCAAAGAAGTGGGAGTGGAATAATAGTACCACGCAAGGGGGGGCCAGGTTCCCACCCCTTGAAGCGACCACAGCTGAGACATCGTCACATTGAGCAAAGAAACCAGGACTCAACGGCTTGTCGGCAAAACGCCTCACGTAAAGGGAGATGAAGGTTCGTGAATGTGGTATATTTAATTAACAAGCAGACCTCCTACGCCATGTCTCGATGTAGAGGGTCGAGCCCCGTCGGAAGGGAGTAAACCCATCTGTAGTAAAGTACAGAGCCCAAATATGATTACAATCTTTCCGTCATGCCCTTGAAGAGTTGAAATGCAGTGTAGGGTATCAGAAGGAGTTCACTGAACGCCGCCATGCCCGTAACCTTATCGATGCTAAATGCAGTGCAAAGAAACCCGACGCTGTGCACAAATGAGTGTCGGGGCGTGTACGCCATTGCAGGCCTTGAAACGGCTTGCCTCGTTCCTGGCTTGGAGGTATATCTCCATCCATGTCTGCTTCATTGTCGTCTGCACTTGCGACGTACGTTTCGACGTCTCCAGATCCTCAGTCTTCCCAGATTGTCTCCAAGTCGAGGTCTTGTCGTCTTTCGGCACCACACACACTCCAACGCTTTCGTTTGTCTCTCGACCCAAAGCCACCCAGCGTTCTGCCACGCAAGGGCACATCAAGACCACTCCTGCCCTTCGCCTCGCCGGCATCGCCCTTCTCTGTGGCTTCTGCGGCAGCCTTTAGCTGGGCAATCCTCTCCGCTTCCATAGCTGCCTCCTCTGCATCGGGCGAGTCCGGTATAGTTTCAAGACTAGAAATACTTGGGCTCCTCGATCTTGCAGATGTCGGGGTTGACGGGACTGACGAGGAGGGGAATGAAGCAGAAACACCGTAGCCATGGGTGAAGGAGTCGTTTCCTCGTAATGACGGCGAAGAAGCCGCGGACGTATACGTTGGCGTAGTAGGCATCGTGAACGACGGAGTGCTGGCATGGCCAGTGTGCCGCAAGGGTGAGGACGGGCGACGGTGTCGGGGCAGGACCATGGAGGGCGTTGTTCCAATTAGACTTGGAGAACTATTGCGGTCTGCAGTCTGACGATCCGATTCCAAGACGGAGGAACGAATAGGCGAAGTAGGGAATGCCTCGTCAACGGGCTTCCGTGGTGTTCGCGTGCGGCCGGGCGACCCGGCAGGACTAGCGGGACGGAGTTGGGGTGAGAACAGTATGTGACCGGCGCCATTGACGCCAGGCATAGACTGGGTGCGAGACATGGGAGGGGCCAAGCTCGCTGCTGACCTGGATCTCGTGTGGTGACCGGAAAGGGGCGAGGTTGTCCGCGGTCGGTAGGGCAGAGGGGTAAAGGTCCAGGACGGCGCGGTCGGAGAAGTGGGACTGGGATCGGTCTGGCGGCGGAGAGTAGGAGGCTTTCGCAAAGGTTCAGGCTCGGCGACGGCAGGAGGGAGTAATATCGGGTTCTGTATGCGGAGCGAGGGAAGTGGTGAGGATCGGAATTCCTCCATTCTCTCAGTCTCGGGAACGGGTTCCATGTTGAATATCGGAGAATCCGAAGTGCCAGGCTGGCGAGGGCGACATTAGCTGCGGGAAAATGAGCCTGGGTGCCGCTGAGTAAGTTGGTTCCTTCCTCGTTGTGAGGGTTGCACGAAGTTCCGTGGACGATCGTCTCGAGGAGTGAGAACTCGAGCTCGACGCGACGACTCGGTCGGACAAATCAGCAGCAGTCGGTACTTGCGTAGAGCGGCATCTACTGCTAGGCTGAGTGAGCCTGTTGGCGAGGTGTCGGCCTAGAAAGGTGGACGAGAAGCGGGATCGAGAAGAAATGAAGGTTATCAAGCGGTGTCGTTTTGAGAAGAGCGAGGGTTGGTAGGAAGGATGGAGAGAGGAATAAAGAGTCGAGGAAATGGAGAGCAAGAATCGATCGTATCGGTAGCGGCGGAGGTGCAGCTGCGGCAACGGCAGGGCGGCAGCAAAGAGACAAGACAAACAAACAAGGCACGACGAATAAGCGAAGATACAGGCGAAAGGGCAGCAACATGGAGGATAAAAGGGTGGTGGTGTCAACCAGAGTCACACATTCCGGGTTGCAAATGAGAAGAATGGCCCGCGGCGGCTGACGAGGGGGTCCTGATTCTGAAGGAAGGAAGATGGTCAGGGACTTTGGCCGGGGGTGCACATAGCAAGCCGGGAGATATACGAGAGAGGATGGACACGGATAGGCGGAGATGCGGGAGATGGAAGGCAAAGTGTGTGTTTGTAGAGCAATGCTTTTCCAAGGTAAGGTACCTACCTAAGGTATGGTTGACCGAAGATACCCGTCACAGTAGCGGGCACGGCATACCAAAAACAGGTACTGTTTGTCGTTTGCATTGTGGATGTATACATCTAAGCATTGAGGAAGAGGGGGTTTCCCAAGGTACGGTTGACACCTAAAGCACTTTGCCTTACCTCACTGGGCCCGGTGTGGGGAGTACCAAATGATCTAGGGGACTTGGGGCGCATCAGTCGGGTCACCTCACCCCGGGCTAGTTGGCCTGGTCCCGTTAAGGACCGCCAGGACTCAGGCTCAGGACTCAGGACCGGGAGTAATCGTGCCTACCTTACCTAAGGTAGCAAAGCGAAAGAGGGGGCGGGCGCCATTACTTGAGACCGTTGGCAAACCGCCGCTGCACACCGTACACTTTGCCCATTGTCTGTCTGCATCAGACCACTTGTTTTTAATCCCTTCCCCTGGCTTGTAGCAATCTACTCGACGTCCACGGGTTGTTTCGTGTCGGCGAGTGGATGTTGGG